CTTTTTTTTGTCTTTTTTTTGTCTTTTTTTTGTCTTTTTCCGTGTCCGGCAACGGATCGCAACCCTCAGTGTTGCCCCCGTACCGGACCGAGGACCGGCAACGGGATCGCAACCCTCGGTGTTGCTCCCGCGCCTCGCTCAGCCAGTGAGCGGGAACCGGTCTGTATGTGGGATCCGAACCCTCGGGCGGGAGCGCCGCCGCGCTTCCCAAGCGGTGCACTTATCCAGTGCGCCACCGGGCCGGCCCCGGCCACCCCATTCTAAGTTTCATGAGATTCTACCTTACATCGCTGTGTCCCTAGTGCCTAGTGCTGCCTGGGACACACAGTTGATACTTAATAACTATTTTCTTTGAACAGATGCATGTGTTTCTCCAAGACACATTTTTAGTATGAATATAGACATACCAGGCCACTCTTTTTTCCCCAATATTTTTTATTATGTTAAAATACATGTGACATAAATTTAACATCTTAACCATTTTGAAGTGTATGGTTCAGTGGTATTAAACACACTCATAATGTTGTGCAACCATCACCATCGTCCATCTCCAGACTCTTTTTGTCTTGCAAAACTGAAATTCTTTGCTCATTAAACTCGCTATATCCCCCTTCCCTCAGTCCCTGGCAATCACTATTCTTTCTATGAATTTGACTACTTTAACTACCTCATATAAGTGGAATCATACACTATTTGTCTTTTTGTGACTGGTTTGTTTCACTTAGTGTAATGTTCTCAGGGTTCATCCACATTGTGTAGGATGTGTCAGAATTATCTTCCTTTCTAAGGTTGAATAATCTTCCATTATGTGTATATTCTACATTTTGTTTATCTATTCATCCAGTAATGGACACTGGGTTGCTTCCACCTTTCGGCTATTATGAATAATGCTGCTATGAACATGGGTGTATGAAAATCAGTTCAAGTCCCTGCTTATAATTCTTTTTGATATATACACAAAAGTGGAATTGCTGGATCATAGAGTAATTCTTTTTTTTTTTTTTTTTTTTTTTTTACTTTTAATAGTAGCTATCCTAATGGGTGTAAGGTAGACCAGGCCACTCATTTTAAGGAACTATTTTTTTGTTTTTGTTTTTCAGTTTTTGGCTCCAGTTCTCTGATTTTCTTTTTCCCTCAGCTTTTTCCCCCTCCCTGCCCAATCATTTTGTCTTTAATAACCTGGCAGTAATTCAAAATATGAAAAAAAG